AATCGAAGATTGTGACGCTATAGGATGAATGTGCATCTTAGAACTTAAAGTCCTTCAAAAAATTCACTTCAATAAGCTTGGTATAGCGTCAAAACCTAGTTTTTCTCAAACCTCAAATCCACTTTATTGATACAAACTTTTCTTTGCCAGCAAACAGTTTGAAATAATTTCACGTTTGATATCATAATATCACGGTATTTTTATTTACATGTTTATGAAATTTCAAATCTCTTTCAAGTTTTCAAAGTATTAACTTCCAACAAGATATCCTAAATAAATGGGATTACGAACTTGCATGGCATGAACGACAAGCACGAAGAAACAAATTATTACGCAATTGATGATAACAGGAAATTGAAGGTTACAAAAGATTGGGTTTAATTTCTGCTAAAAGCGGCTCAAAACGTTCGTTAATAACCCTTTTGCTGTTCATTACGAGAAAATACGCATTCATTTGTTTGAAAAGGCGAACAATTGCGTGAAGTTACATTCCTAAGCGACAAAAAGCGATCATCTGCGCGTAAATCAGATTCTCCCTACTGCGCTTTACCGTGACTTCTGGCCGTCCAAAAGTTGTCACCGGATTCGTCGACAAACACACAGTGGCGATAATGAACAACTTAAGGTGTAGTTGAAGAAAACTGTTACTCACCTACCTCGAAATTCAAGTTAGAGCGAGAAATATCATGATGGCAGACGCACAAACTGATTATCTGAATGATTATTGGACGAACTGCGAGAATGCAACTCGAAATTTATCCGGAGAGTGGTTGTGTTATGACTAGCTATTCATACCACACAGAAATTCTAAACTGACCCTTACTATGCTAAATGCCTAAGCAATGAAGAATTGATTGTTCTCGAGAAATGTGGCGTGATGTTTACAGGTCAAACGCGCCTTAGAAAGGGAAATTCCCCTTTAATATGGCCAATACACTCAGCATTGCTCGATTTCCTTTTTGAAATAAACATGGCCCTCTTTAACAATGCTCTTCAAAACACGCGATAGAGCAGGAATAACTTCTTTTTCATTCATAGCGCTCACCTAACGCTTACTTCTGCTTGCTTGAAAGATGCAAAAAAAAAAAAAAAAAAAGAATGGACGACTCACAAACACGCCTGCTCTTCAAAATTCCCTGACTTAGTCTTAACAGAAATAACAACTACTTTCCTCAATCTTACCTCATTACTTGCTTGTTATTTCCGTCGCACGATTGGGTCGCTTACTCGGTTCGTTTTCTTAACCAAGATATTGCGTTTAATACTGTGGGTGCAAGGCAGTCTCGTGACATGTTTCCTCTCTCAGGCTGTCACTTCCGCTGGAAGTCATACTCACGGACACGAATGTGCTATATATAATGTTCAATGTTAGTTGTAATCATCCCTGAAGAAGTCTCAGACAAAACACGTTGGAAAAAATAAACAAAAAGTTACAACACCATGTAGTCTTTCTTTGTGCAGCTCACTAGTCTCCGTTAAAAAAAAAAATACAGAAAGTATAAATCTTGTATATTTTCGGAACGTGGAAGAAGAGTTTCGTTCACGAAACCAGATCAAGACCTCCCATAATACGTGACGACACTTTGCGCTTATGTTACGCTCACTCTAGAATCGATGGGCTTGAGGTCACAGTGATATACACCGGACAAAATCTTAAGTTTAATACTTTTCGGCTTGGACTAAAAAATATTTCTATAAGTAACAGACTCGATCATGGTCAAGAGGAAAAAATAATGTACACAACTATTTTTTTTACCTCTGTTTGGTATGGCATGTAATTGACCCGTGGCTCTGAATATGGATACGCGATCCGTTGCGTTTTGATAATTCAACCTTTCTAAAGAAAGTGTTTTATTTCTCGCTTCGTACTTCATAGTCTCTAAATGGTGGCTTGTATCAAAATGGAACAAATACATTTTTTTTCCGCTCGGTAGCGGTTGAACAGCGAGGGCGAAGTTGTTACTTTCAGGTCTTAGCATGACCCTTTTCATAGCCTGCAGTGTAGGTTTCTTATTAGTGGGAGCTAACGTTATAAGCTCGCGTTCGTTTATCCGACCGGCCATGTTTGATTTGGAGTCAGAGTAAACAGTGGGGGTAGGGGGCGAGAATCTTCACTCCTCCACCCCCACCCTTCTTCTTCTTATTTTTGACCGTCGACCGCCCCCATAGTACAAATTTCTTTCTCTCCCAAAGCCTTCCGCTTCCATTAAAATCAAAGATGGCGGCCATAATTTTCATTCAGAAATACATAGCACTCGCTCGCCAAAATTAAGCCTGTTTTTCAGGCTACCCTTTCCACTGCCTTACACACGTGTGGTGTATCACATCACGTAACCTGGATCGGAACGTTTTCAAAAATGGCCGTCGATTAAGTGTCAAAAAAACTGTAGAAAATTTGGCTTCGAATAATATGTCGTTTATTTGCTCATTTAGGATTCTCTAACCTAAAAGAATGTATACGTACGTACGATTTAGCGTTCAAAAAGTGTCTCCATTAAGCGCGCGGCCAAAAACGATTATGTTATAGCTATGACGTAGGAAAAATGTGAAGACACGTCGACAGTTATGGTGGAGAAAGGAAAAATCTGGAAAGAAGGACGGACGTAATGCGTGGCCGGAGCGCCAAATGATAGCTACAAGAATAATACATATATATCAGGTATTTTTAAACACTAATTTCCAAATGATGTAGCTATATGGCCAAAATGGACGTGTCTCGATCGTCGACATCGAGGAGATTTTACTCTTCAATGTCGTTGGCCTTATGCTCCGTAACGGCTTCGAAGACGCCTGTTACAAACACATATAACTACTGAGTTAAATCAGGGCAAGATAATCAAAGAATTCAGCTAAAGAGGATGCTAATTAAGTAGCCTGTTCCCACACCGTACACGATTGTTCAACATTCTTTTCGGCTGACATTTCGCATGCGAAGAATAGTGAGCTCCTTATTTCACGCGCTTGAGATGTACTCATTCTCTCTGTCTTTCCACACGACTACATTTGCGCTTTTTTCTCTTATCGTATGAAAATCCTACCAATTGTAGTTTATGTCGTATTTTAACAACAGAAATGCATCATTTGCGATAAAGTTCAAGCCGTTTCCTGAGCTTGACCGGTTCGACGACGACGGCCTCTGCCTTTACAATCTCTGAGGAAAGGAGCAGTTTACAGTGAAACTGCCCGATCACTTCTAGGCGAAAAATCATCGTGCCTCGTGATACAGCTGATTATTTCGTCAAAAGTTTGCTTTTGGTTTGCCAAGGAAATTACTCTACAGCAACGAAACTCTGGAGTATTATACTATAATCTTTAATGAGGATGCCAGCGTCACAAAAGTGGTTTACAGGAGGGTCCTCTTAAATTAAATACTAATACAAAGATAAATTACAAATAAAAAACAAATAACTAAAACTAAATCTAAGAACTAATTAAAAATACTAATCACAAAGTATTAACTAAGAGTAATACTAGTAAGGTAAATTAAAATTCAAAATTAAATTTAGACAGGCCACGTTTGAAGGCAGGCAGTGAGTTTGCATTTCTTAGTGAGATGTCTAAACCATTCCATACATCTGCGCTAAAGTTAACTGACGACCAATGACCCCATCTTCTTGTGGCACTGGATTTTCGAACGTCATTTCTCGATCTTGTATTGTAACCATGAAAGTCCCGATTAAATGTGACAGGAATAGTATTACATGAATGGTTGTTAATTAATTTGTACATAAAGATGGCATGGTGTTCTTTTCTACGACGCAGTAATGGTTTCCAGCCAAGTCTCTTTAGGGCCTCAGTTGCGGAAAAATAAACAGGTAAGTCTAAAATGAGGCGAGCGGCCTTATTCTGCAACACTTGCAGCTCAGACATTAAGGACGCATTTCCGCGATCTCCCCAGATGATATCCCCATAGTCAAAAATAGGTAAAATGAAACTATTGAAAAACATAATTCTAGCGTTGAGGGGGAGGCAAGATTTAATACGCCTTAAAAGACCTAACTTTCTACTGACCTTACTACGAATATAATCAATGTGGTATTAACCAAAGAAATAAGAAATAACATGTTATGTAAACAGAAACGAACACAGCTACCCATTATTACCATAGATTTCGCCGTAGAAAACAAAACGCGAAGGCAATTAACTAATCAACAGTACTTTGTTCTAATCTTGACCTGAACACCGCAGGCGAGAAACCGTCTTTGTCAGTCCTCGTCGATTGCACGCAATTGATGCAGCTTGTAAAGAAAAAGCATTCTCACATCTTTCATGTCCTCAACCTAAGGTGCATTTTATAAAATTTTAAATGAGAAAAAATTTTTACGGGTTGAGACAGGATCTGAGAGGTAGGGACTTATTTATTTTTTCATATTCTAGAGTTAATGTAAAGTTGTCATTCTGACACCACTCACATGATAAATTCAATGTGAAAATTTTATTTAGGATGAGCCAGTCAGCCTTCTTGTATACGCATCCTGACACAGTTTTAACATGTGCACCCTGAAACTAGGAGTTCTACAAAAATAACCTGTGCCACGTACGAAAAAAACACTAAAAAATCACTCTTTAGCTGTGGCCAAAAAATGTGTGGAAACGTATTCCTCATCTAACGCAGCAGCACAATATCCTGAGGAAAGGGTAAACTAACCTAATTGTACAACTAATCACAAAGAAAAATCGATGATTGTAATGACATTTTACAGAGAGTTGGAATACCAAAATTACAACAAATACAGAAAAGAAAGTGGTCAAACAAGACTGACCGACCTAGAATGAGTTAATTTTCCCGCGAAACGCATGAGCAATCTGAAACTTTTATGATACCACGCGAACCTCTTCAACTGATTCGTTCCCATGTCACTTAAACGTCAGAAATTACATTTTTATCTCGAGTTAACTCAGATTAAGACATGAAGTGTTTTTTAGTGAAGTTTCTGAAAAGAAACATCGAGGTGAAGTTAAAAACCTTTTATTTTAGTTAAAAAAGAAAAAAACAGGACTAAATGGTTCCTTCAAGTTTTCACAAAATCTTTCAATTATCTGCAAATCCAAGTCATTTTTCTTCCCAGAGGGACCGAGGTTTACTCTCATACATAGCTTAAAAGGGAAGGAGTCCTTCAGCTGGGTTTTTAGCTTTAAAGGGAGTAAGTTTCTAAAGAAACGGGGAAACCAAGTCACGTTTCTTCCTAGAGGAACCGGGGTTTACTCTCGTACATAGGTTAAAAGGGAAGGAGTCCTTCAGCTGGGTTTTTATCATTAAAGGGAGTAAGTTTCCAAAGAAACTTAGAAAAATTGTGTTACCACAAGAGTATATTAGCCCTGAGCCGTGTCTGGGTGTTCTTTTCCGAAGAGTTTAACCCTTTAGTCAAAACACGTTGATGAAACTGAACTGCTGACGAGACGTTGTGTTTCTTTGAGAAAAAAGTAACACTCAGTCGTGTTTGGGTGTTCTTCCCCGAAGAGTTTAATCCTAATTTCAAGAGCACACTGAAAGGAATGAACTGCGGACGAGAGGTCGCCTAAGGCATATTGGGTTTTTCCAAGAGAAAAGTAGCTCTGAGCTGTGTCTGGGTGTTTTTCTCCAAAGAGTTTAACTCTTATGTCGAGAGCACGCTGAAAGGACTGAAGTGCTGACGAGATGTCGTCTAAGGCATCTTGTGCTTGTCCGAGATAAAAGTAACACTCAGCGGTGTCTGGGTGTTCTTCCCCGAATAGTCCTCTAGCGATTTCAAGGGCACTTTGAAAGGACTGAATGGCTCCACAATAGTTTTGCATCTTATGAATTGCGTGGCCTTTGTCCATATAGTTTCTAAATAGTCTTTCTTGATACAAATTTAAATCAAGATCTTCGTTGGGTTTAGCTTCATCTCCTGTGACAACTTTTCCACTTTGTTTTAAGGTCATTTTATGATAATTGATCCATGTGTCGCACAACTCGGATGCTTCCTTGGGATTATTCAACACACTGCAAAGTGTCGAATTGATGTTGCACTGGAAGGTCCATGAACCAATGGAATGTGGAAGGATCCATTTTTCTGATTGATTTGACATCCTTAGCACAGATTTGCTCATTGCTTGCTTTGTTTCATAATCAGAGAACATTTCTGTTGCTGTGCTAACAACGCATATCATTTGTAATCTAAGTGGTTGAGTGGTTGTAACATCTGTCTCCGACATATCTGCCTCAATCATTCTCGATTCTTTGTTATTCACTGGAGGAATAACAAGGAGACTTGTGTCTCCTAATGCTCTGCATTCATGTAAGGCTGTGGTGTAAAGCTCCAGAGAAGTTGCTTTCTTTTTCTTGAAAAGAAAGTAAGTAACAAGAATTTGCAACGTAATCACTCTGAGAATTCGCTGTTCGGGGCTGTCACTCATCAGGTAAAGAGCTTCTTGTAAATTCTCAGCTCCTTCGTCTATTTTCCCTGAAACCAGTTGACAGAAGCCTCTATAACACAGGAGTCTTCTTTTATCGTCTACCGACAAAGAAAGGCTGTCGGCTTTAGAGAGCAGCGTCATCGATCTTCCATGTATCCCCCAAGTCACTTCACCGAATGCCAAGGACACAAGTAACTGACTGTAAAACACGCTCTTTCCAAACCTCTGGGCTACTTCAGCTGCGTGCTCGTAAATGTTTTTAAAGACTTTTCCCTCACACCAGAAAAGGGAATCTAGAAAGATTTCTGCCTTTGTTAGGACACCAAATGCAACGTCACATGTCTTAGGATCGGAACAGCTCTCCATAAGACTCTGAATAATATTCTGCTTCTCTTCATAGAAATCAATAAACGCTTGCATGGATTGTCCTGTCCAAAACTGTTGATTTAGCTTCTCGAAAAGAGAGACGTAAAATGCAGACAAACGAGCTTTGGAGTTCAGCATGGTTTCTTTCATGTCATTTTCACCTGTTTCTCTTGTAAATGACAGGATCAATTTATGCATTGAAAATGACTCGGGTTTGGAGCTAGCCGAGTCGAGGAAAGACTTTCTCCGAAGCGTATGCAAGATTTTCTTGGCCTCCAAAGTTGTTTTTACACCCATGACAGCTGCAGCAACCGAGTGGTTAAAATCTCCAGAAAGAACACTAAGTGATACCAGCGCTTCTTTCTCTGATAAAGAGAGTCTCTGAAAAGAGGATTCAAATAGGAGCTTCAATCGCAGATTGCTTGGATAATCTGGATTGTCCAACAGCTCTAAAAGGTTACTTTCTATAGATTCCTTGAAGCTATCTAAAAATTGACTCGGCTGAGCATTATCTTCAGCAATAGAGGAACACAACAGTTTCATGGCCAAAGGTACGAACCCACAGATTGTTGCTATATTCGAGCAGTCAGACGCAGTCGCTTTTGGAAGTAGTCCGCCGACTAACGTTTGAGAGAAGGACTCGTATAATGGCCCTATTCTTACTGCTTGATGGCCTTCAAAATGCACATTCATAAATTCAAGAGATTCCCTTGTGGTAAGAAGAAATGTTAAATTTTTGAATTGACTAAGAATAACTTCCAGAAGCTTTATGAAATCCTCCTTCACATTTGGTGTTCCACTTTCGAGTAATTCATCGGCATTGTCAAGAATCATCACAAATTCACCTGAAATTTCGCTTAGAAAGAGAGAAAGTTCGTCTTCCATGGACATCTGCTGAGGAATTTGATCTTTTGTGTAGTGTCTTCTAAAGAAGCTTAGAAGCTGCGAAGTCAGATCGGCTTTTGAAAGAAGCCCTCGCATGGAGAAGAAGTATACGGGAAGTCCTTCAGTTTGGAGTTGATGTCCGACTTCAGTTGCTACAGAAGTTTTACCAAAACCAGGCGAGCCCCATATCGATACGATCCGAGAACTTTTGTAAGTTAAGTGACTGCTGATGCCTTCACACTCTCTCTGACGGCCAGTGAAATGTGGAACCTTTGAAGGAAGATTTGATGGTGGAAGGAAGGGCTTTGAATCTGAAAATAAGTAAGTTGATGCAATCATGAAAGGGTAATGTCGGTAGTTTGAAGTGTAGATTAATATAATGATCATGAAAAAGGGTACATTTTACTGTTGATCAGAAATCTGGAAATTAAGTTTTTTGAATGCAGCTTTAATCATGAGTTTCTTGCTTTTCCGTGAAGTTGTGGTAGTAACAACATCCCACAAGAGTCACGATGCTGATAAATATAGATTTTGCGGTTTACTTCTTACACAAATTGTTTTGAAATAAAAGATAACAGATTGTTCAAGGTGGTACTCTGATTATAGAATAAATTCATCTTAGGCAAGAAGAAAATATTTTCAAGACATGTATAAAGCATTTTTACGAAAACTGGAAGTTACCCCGTTAAACTATTACTACTAACGTACAGAGTAAAAACGCTGTTGTCTCTCATGTTCCTCCCTGCCAAAGTAGTGCTTATAACACACTGCCACTTTGCACCTTTAAATTCTTATGATATACAAAAAATCCTGTAAAATTTTAAATAATTTTATACCTGTTTGATCATGATCTATCTTAAGTTTCAAATCATCAATTTTTCTCTCCAACAAAGCGAGGTCTTCAACTTTTACCATAGCATTCCCCTGAGCTATTAATTTGTCGACACCTGATCTCACTTCTTCGAGACACTCGACTCTTGATCTTACTTCTTCGAGACACTCGATATATGATCTGGTCTCCTGTCTAAGACTCTCCTCCAATCTGCGAACTTCTTTCGTGGGAAAGTCAGACTCTGTCAATCCACCGATGGCATCAATGGGATCTTCCTTGATACCAAGAGCTTTGAATGCTTCTTTAGCGAGCTGCACGTATTGGTCAAAGGTTGGTTTATCAATCTCTGACTTGTCTGAGTGACAAAGCGAGTTTCGTAAAAGTCGAAGCTGATCAATCGCGAGAGCGAAGGTTTCGGCTATATTTCCACTTGGACTCACAACAGATGAATGGAACTTTCCAAGAGGTACTTTATGGTGCTTTACGTACAGTTCATAAAGTTTCCTTTTATCACCTTTGCTATCTGGCGTAGCGAAGGACTTCGCATAGATGGTGGCCTGGAATAGGGCTGTGCAATCCCATTCTTCATAGGAGGTGTGTATAGGAACTTTGCTTTTTCCACCTTCTTCTGCGAGAAACAAATTTCTTACTACCGTGGAGTTATCCCACGGTTGATACCCGTGACGATGTCCAAATATGTTGTCCCACATGTATTTGAACGTCTGACGCAAAGCAATGACGAACTCATTGAGTACAATGGAGGCGAATTTAAAATAATTCAGCTGCTCGTTCGTAAAAGGCTGTACAGTCATACTCGGCTTTATTTATGGAGATAGCAATCCTCGACCAAAATCCTGAAAGAGATTCCATTTGTTCAAGCATACATACGTCTTAAGTGAAATTAAACAGTAATCGATGTATGTGAGGGGAAAAGGAAAAACTCGTTCAAATTCGTTTAAATAAATACTTAATCGCACATGCACACTGGCTCTATCAATTGTGTATGTGGGCATGGATACTAAAATTGGCTACGCATCTAAACTAACTTGAAACAAAATGAAAACTTGTCTCTACTTTATATTAGAATATAGATGTACGCTCTGAATCTGCTTTCTGTTTGAATGCCAAGTCCTAGCAATTTATAATTAAAACTAAAATATTTCCTTCTCGAGGTTGAAATGTTGTACCTCTTTAAAATTCAGAAACCGAGAAATCGAAGACTGACGCCAGAAGATGAATGTGCATCAGAGAACTAAGAGTTCTTGAAAAATTCGCTTCAATAAGCTTGGTATAGAGTCAAAACTTATTTTTTTCAGACCTCAACTCCACTCTACTGATAAAGACTTTTCTTTGTCAGCAAACAGTTTGAATTAGTTTTACGTCTAATATGATACTTTCACGGTGTTTTGATTGACATGTTTATAAAATTTCAGAACTCTTTCAAGGTGCCAAGGACTTATTAATTTCTGTTGTAACTTCCTACAAGATATCCTAAATGAATGGGATTACGAACTTGCATGGCATGAACAAGAAGCACGAAGAAACAAATTATTGCGCATTTGATGATAACAGGAAATTGAAGGGTACAAAAGATTGCATTTTTATTTATGCTAAAAGCGGCTTAAAACTTTTACATTCTCTGTACGTAAGATGATGACTGCCAAACGTCAAATGCCAAACGTCAAATCTAGTTACTGACAGCAGTGATCAGAAATCGGGTGTTGTGCAAAGTCTAACAAAGTTTGGAGTTTCTTTGACCTTCATCGATATTGATTGTTTTATTTCGTTAATAGTGGAAAAAAACTGTTATCTACCACCCTAAAATTCAAGTTAGAGCTAGAAATATTATGATGGCAGACGCACAAACTGATTATCTCAATGATTATTGGACGAACTGTAAGACTGCCACTCGAAATTTATCCGGAGACTGGTTGAGGTGTTAGACTTGTCATTCATACCACAAGGAAATTTTAAACCCTTAATATGCTAAATGCCTACGCAATGAAGAGTTTATTTTTCTCGAGAAATGTGGCGTGATGTTAACAGGCCAAATACATCTTAGCAAGGGAAATTTCCCTTTTATTGTGGAGAAAAAAATTCAGCATGGCCATCCAGAACAATGCTCTTCAAAATTCCCTGACTTAGTCTTGACAGAAAAAACAATTACAATCTTCAATCTTACATCTAGAACAGGCGTGTTTTTTGAGTTGTCTAAATTATTGACTAAATTAACTTGAGGCAGTGAAAACTCATCTCTACTTTATATTAGAATAAAGATGTACGCTTTGAATCTGATCTGTTTGGATGTCAAGTCCCAACACTTTGCAATCAAAACTAAAATATTTTCCCTCTCGAGGTTCAATGTTGTAGCTTATTAAAATGCGGAAACCGAGCAATTGAAGACTGCGACGCCATAGGAGGAATGTGCATCTAAGAACTTAAAGTCCTTCAAAAAATTCACTTCAATAAGCTTGGTATAGCATCAAAACCTATTTTTTCAAACCTCAACTCCACTTTATTGATACACAATTTTCTTTGCAGCAAACAGTTTGAATTAATTTCACGTCTGACATGATACTTTCACGGTTCTTTGATTTACAAGTTTATGAAATTTCAAAACTCTTTCAAGTTTTCAAAGACTCAATATTTTCTGCAGTAACTTCCAACAAGATATCTTTAATGAATGGGATTACGAACTCGCATGGCATGAACAAGGAGCACGAAGAAACAAATTATTGCGCATTTGATGATAACAGGAAATTGAAGGGTACAAAATATTGCATTTTTATTTATGCTAAGAGCAGCTTAAAACTTTTACATCTTCTGTACGTAAGATAATGATTACCAAACGTCAAATGCCAAACGTCAAATCATGTTACTGACAACAGTGATCAGAAATTGAGTGTCGTGCCAAGTCTACCAAAGTTTAAAGTTTCTTAGACCTTCATCGATATTCTATTTTTGTTATATTTCGTCAGTACACCTTTTGCTGTTCATTACAAGAAAATACGCATTCATTTACGTGAAAAAGCGAGCAATTTCGTGAAGTTGCACTCATTAGCGACAAAAAAACAATCATTTACGCGTAAATTAGATTCTCCCTGTCGCGCTTTACCGTGACTTCTAACCGTTCAAACGTTGAAACCGCATTCGTCGATAAATACACAGTGGCAATAATGAACAACAAAAGGTGTAGTTGAAAAAAACTGTTACTCACCTACCTTGAAATTCAAGTTAGAGCGAGAAATATCATGATGGCAGACGCACAAACTGATTATCTTAATGATTATTGGACCAGCTGAGAGACTGCAACTAGAAATTTATACGGAAAGTGGTTGTGCTAGGTCTTGTTATTCATACCAGAAGGAAATTTCAAACTCCTGATATGCTAAATGCCCTTGCAATGAAGAGTTCACTGTTCTCGAGAAATGTGGCGTGATTTTTACAGGTCAAACACACCTTAACAAGGGAAATTCCCCTTTTAATCTGGTCGATACACTCAGTATTTTTCAATTTCCGTTTTGAAACAAACATGGCCACCCCGTACAATGCTCTTCAAAACACGCGAAAGAGCAGGAACGACTTCTTTTTCGTCCATAACGCTCACCTAACGCTTGCTTGAAGATGAAAAAAAAAAAAACAGATCAGACAACTGAAAAAACACGTCTGCTCTTCAAAATTTCCCAACTTAGCCTTGACAGAAATAACAATTACTCTCCTCAATCTTACGTCTAGAACAGACAATTCAAAGCCTGGTTTTAATATAATCTGAAAAGGTCTGTGGCCATCTTTGACTGACGGCATTAGACAGATTCATTTTGTTAGAGTACTTTTCCACATTATCCACTTTTCAACGCGTTTGTATCGGTTCTCAGTTTTCTTGTATTGAATTTGACGAAGGTTTTTTAACCAAGACTTTGCGTTTATACTGTGGGTGCTGGGCAGTCTCATGACATGTGTCTTAATGGTTTCCTCTCTCAGGCTGTCGGCTTGTTTTATTTTCGATAAACGAGCGTGAGTAATTTACTGTTCACTCAGCTAACAACAGTACCTTTTTGAAACAAGTAACCTTGCAGACAAGATTTATTTCATCATATTTTTCGGGTCGCAAATGCGAAACAACGCTCGAGTGTGGCGCTCATAACGAGACGTTTCTTGTAACGTCGGTTTACAGCATGTTTCTGTTATCATTCACTTCCACTGGAAGTCATTCTTAGGGACACGAATGCGCTTTATATGCTGTTCAATGTTAGTTGTAATCGTCCCTGAAGAAGTCTGAGCTAAAGACAAAACGCGTTGGAAAAATAGACAAAAAGTTACAAGAGCAAGAAGCCTTTCTTTGTGCTGTTCACTAGTCTCCGTTAAAAAAAAAGATAAAGAGAGAATTAATCCTGTACATTTCCGGAACGTGGAAGAAGAGTTTCGTTCACGAAACCAGATCAAAACCCCTCGAAATTCGTGACGATACTTTGCGCTTATGTCACGCTGAATGCAAAACCGATGGGCTTGAGGTCACAGTGACATATACCGGACAAAATCTTAAGTTAAATGCTTTTCGGCTCGGACTAAAAAATGTTTCTTTAAGAAACAGACTCGATAATGGTCAAGAGGAAAAAATAATATATTTTTTTTACTGCTGTTTGGCATGGTATGCAATTTACACGTGGCTCTCAGTACAGATACGCGATCCGTCGCGTTTCGATAATTCAACCTTTTTAGAGAAGAGTATTTTATTCTTCACTTTGTATTTCAGTCTCTAAATGGTGGCTTTTACCAAAATGGAATAAAATCTTTTCTTTTTCTGTTCGGTAGCAGCTGGACAATGAGGGCCAAGTTGTTACCTTCAGGTCTTAACATGACCCTTTCACTGCCTACATGAGTGTGACGTATCATATCAGGCGACCTTGATCAAAACGTTTTCAAAATGGCCGTTGATTAAGCGTCAAAAAAAAAAGAACAGTAGAAAATTTGGTTTTGCACAATATATCGTTTATTTGCTCATTTAGAATTCTTTAGTCAAAGAGGAATTTATAGGGACAAAAGAGGGTGGAAATTTTGCCAGTCACCCTTAAAGTACCTGTGACACGAACCTTTTTTTTGTATGTCCTGGTTGATAGCTGCATTTAAAGTTAGAAATATTCAACCTCAGCGCCTAGCGAGTCCTCTTTGGCCACTTTGTTCGAGTGGTATTTGGCTTCTTTGTGGCATTTTGCCAGCGGCCAGAAGACGTTCACGAAGCGAATGAACTGAACGAGATTTACTGACATTGCATCCTCGGAGACCCAGGGGCTGTGAGTCGATTTCAAGTCAGGGCGGAAGAGCCCCTGGGGACATTGTCTTACAAGACTAGTTCCAAACGGTCGTAGTCGTTCTGGTATCTGATTGGTACCAGAAAATCTTTGTGTTTTACTGCCCAATCAGAGTGAAGTATGCTTTAGAGTCCTTTCGTGTATTTTAACACGGAGATGTACAGGAAGCTCAGTTGCTCGCCTTGTTTGTTTGGGCCGTGCGACGAAGCTTTGCTCGAGGTGAAAATTTTCAGTCTCAGCACACAGTGTAAGAGAGATCGATTAGATTGTGCGTCGTACGTCGTCGTCGCACGGCCCAAACAAACAAGGCGAGCAACTGAGCTTCCTGTACATATCCGTGTTAAAACACACGAAAAGACTCTAAAGTATACTTCACTCTTATTGGACAGAAAAACACAAAGATTTTCTGGCACAATCAGGTACCAGAACAACTGCGAGCGTTTGAAACTAGTCTTGTAAGACAATGTCCCCAGAGGCTCTTCCACCCTCACTTGAAATCGACTCAC